CCCCCCCCGCTGACGCTTTCCTCTCTCCCTGCCCCCCCCAGGTGAACCGTGCCTGGCCCGGGCCGCCGCCATGTCCCGTCGCAGCCAGCGCCTCGTCACCACCACCCGCTATTACCCGGGGGACGACGATGCCACCACCAGCAGCAGCAGCAGCTCCCTGCTGGGGGGCCAGCAGCTCCCCTTCAAGGAGAGCACCGGCAGGTTAGTGGGGTGCAGGGGTGGGGGGTCCCCCCCCTTCCCAAACGTGGCCAGGGCGCTTCATCCCATGCCACGGACTGGGCGCCTTCCCCGGGGCAGGGCATCAGGGCGGCTTGCAGAAGGCAGTGTGGCGGCGAGCTCGCCGCGTTTCGGCATGGCCGCCTTGGCACTGGCTGTGCCTCCGCTCTCTGGCAAAGGCCCCACGCTCCCGGCCCGTGGCACCTCTGCGTCCCCCCTGCCCTGGCACCGGAGGCTGCTGTGGGCAGCTGCGAGCCGCCTCCTCCCGGCGGCGGCCACCTCGGGCTCGATGGCGGGAGGGAGGGGCGCTGCGAGCACCAGGCCGGAAAACCGAACCGCGGCGGTAGGAGCGGAAGTGGTGCCGGCAGCTGCCGGGGGACGGGTGGGGGGGACTTTCGCAAAGCAGCGGTTGCACCCTCCGAAACCTGCTGCTATCCAGTGGGGGGGGGGGGGGGGGGGGGGGGGGGAGCGGGGGGGGGGGTGGGGGTTTTTTTGAGTGGCGCGCGGCGCACGCCCGCGGGGCCCGCCCGGGCGGGGCCTGTGTGGACGGGGGGGGGGGGGGGGAGTGGAGGGAAGTGAAGCCGGCTGAGGGATTGGGGTGAATTCCCCATTCCTCCCCCGTGGGTGCACCGTGACACCCCCCTGCCCCATAACCATGCGTGGCTGATGAGCCCATTCTTGCCCCTGGCAGGACGATCAGGAGGAAATCGAGCAGCACGAAGCGCCTCTCTCCGGCCCCCAGCACCCAAACCTCCTACTACAGCGAGTCCCTGGTGAGCGAGTCCTACCTGGGGGGCAGCCGGGGCCTTGCCGCCCTCGGCAGCTCTGTGCTGGACGATGCCCTGGACAGCAGCACGTACTGGGGTGAGCCCTCCCTCCCTCCTACGGCAGCTGGGGACCTCGCTGGGCACTGGGGGGGTGTTGGGGCAGCCCGCCAGGCCAGCTGACCGGGTTGCCCCCTGTGGGGGTGGGTGGTTTCTGAGGGGGGCTCTGTTTTGGGGGCAGGTGGGGAGCTTTCCACCAGGAGGAGAAGAGGCACAGGGGACACCGAGTCCAGTAAGATCAATGGGCTGCTGGAGAGCAAGACGTACGACACCTATGCCTCTTCATCTGGGTACTCTTCGGAAGATGACTACGCCGGTAGGGATGCACCAGCCTCTCTGCGGTGGCAGGGATGCTCGAGGGGGCGTCCCCAAGGGGACCAGCTCACGGGCTGGTTGTGCCCAGGGTGCTGCGAGCCCCCTCCCCTGCATGCCACCCCCTGTGCAAAGCCTTTGCCCTGGGCGACTCACAGGGATGTGGGCTCTGTTTGGTGGCTTACTGCCTTGCTGCTTCTTTTCCAGGTCACTTTTACTCGGGCCAGAGTAGCTCTGGGTCAGGGCTGAGGACCGCAGCCTCCCGGGTGGGCTCCTTCCTCTGGCAGGTGCTCACCTCCCCGGGTGAGTGGAGGGCCGGCGGGGGGGTTTCTGGCAGCACCTTTCTTCCCTGCCAGCATCTCCCCTCCCCACATGCCATGTGCGCTGTTCCCTGGTCGGGCGGAGGGGTTTTATCCCCCTGTGGGAGCATCCTCGGGGACAAAGGGTACGTCTCTGCTGGGACCCTGCCTGAGGCTTGGTTTCTCTCCTGGCAGTTCGGTTCCTGGGGTGGCTGTTCTCGGGGCTGGCAGCTGCCTGGCACCGCCTCACCGGCGCGGCTCCCCGCCTGGGTGGCGTCCCCTTCTCCAGGTGAGTGTGGTGGCGGGATGGGGGAGGCATGGGGAAAACCCGCAGGACCCCGGAGAGGGGGTGCCCTGCGGAGCCCGGCATGCGTGGGGTGGGTGTCTTGTGCCAAAGCCCGGCTGGGCTTTGCTTTCCCTCTGGCCCCCATCCAGAGGAGCGCCGCAGTGGGGGAAGGTGGCTGCTGTCCTACAGGTGCCTCTTTCTTCTCCGTGCTCTAGGCGCTACCCGTGGCTGAAGAGGTCCCTGCTTCTGCTGCTGCTCCTCCTGCTCCTTGCTACTGTTGCCTATGGTGAGTCAGCCTGCCTCGATCTGTTGCCCTGAGATCTGGGGCAGTGCAGAGCATCCCACTGCCATACCTGGAGGACGGGATGGCCCTGAGCTCGTGTCTCCTGGCGCCTCTGCCAGGCGATTGCTGATGGCTGAGCCTCTGCACGTACACCCTGTCTCCTGCTATGGCCCATTACTGGCCTGCCATTTTAACCATCTCATCCTCCTGCGTGCCCAGGAGCTTGGTACTTCTACCCATATGGGCTGTCAACACTCAGCCTCCCCGCCTTCCCGTGGTGGGGAGCTGGAAAGCTGTCCTCCTCCAATGTGCCTGGGGCAGGGGACTTGACTGCGCTGGACCAGGTAAGCCTTGGCAAAGGCGCGGCAGTGGCCCAGGTGGGGTGGGCGCCTTGCAGCGAGAGCTGGGACGGTGTGATCCATGGCTGAGCCCTTCCAGGGGATGGGGAAGTGGTGGAGGATGGGGCAGGTGGTGGCTCCACACTAGTGGAAATGGCTCCCCCAGCTTGTGGCCATCTCACTCTCAGGGTGTCCCAGGGATGGAGCAGGGGGAACATCTGCCCTGTTCTGGGAAGCAGCAGATGAATAAGATTCCACTGACTCTGGGGACTGGGTGGCCTGGGTCCCTGTGGAGCAGGCAGCCCCCCGGGTGTCCACATCTTCCCAGGGGGCTGCATCGCACCCTGCCTTTACCCCCGCAGGGGCTGCGGGGGGAGCACCGGCTCCTGGCTCGCTTCCAGGCCCTGGAGAAGCGCTTTGAGGCGCTGGAGGCCGATGTGTCGCGGTGGGAGCTGCAGCGGGGGGTGGCAGCAGGGGGAGAGCCACCCCCGGGAGGCATCCTGGCGCTGCTGGAGGGGCTGGTGAGCCGCCGGGATGCCGGGCTGAAGGAGCATCTCCGTGCTGATGTGACCAGCCACCTCCAGGTGAGGGGCATGGGGGACGCGTGGGGAGATGGGGGCGTGTGGGGCCAGGCTCTGATGTTCCCCGCCCTGTTGCTCACACTGCAGGGCGAGCTGGATGCCCTCCGAGCCCAGGTGCAGAGGGATTTAGATGGGCGCCTGGGGAAGATGGCACAAGCCTCTCAGGTAAGGGGACAAGCATGTGGTGGTACAGAGGCAGGACATCCTCACCGCCGGCATCACAGGTCTCACCCTTTCCCCTTCTCCTGGCAGGAGATGGAGGCACGTTTGCTGGAGCTGAACTCGGAGTGGCAGAGGTAACGCTGGCTCTCCAGGCAGAGCCACAGCTCTGTTAGGGGCAGGCAGGTAGCAGGGTGAAATCCCCACAGCGAGGCTTAGGAGGGGTTTCCAGGTCTGGTTTGCTTGGGGCAAAGGAGAGGTTGAGAGGTACGATCCTGGCGGGGAAAGGAAGGATGGGTATGTTGGCGAGAAAGTGCCCTGGCTGGCAGCAGGGCTCAAAGGGCGATTGCAGCAAATGACCTTCACCACTGTCGTTTTGCATCACTGTGGGGAACATGGCCCTTCAGCCGAGGGGTGAGCTGGGAGTGCTTTCTTATGGGATGCAGCAGAAGACATCATTGCCACAGGAATTAAAACCTTTTGGGGCTGGAGATGGGGTTGAGTGTAGGCACGGGGGATGAACCTCCTCCCCCAGTTTGCAGAAGGGAGCTGGGACTGCTGGTGCAAGGTTTTGTGGCCTTTCTCTCGGCACAGTTCGGCGCAGGAGGGCCTGCGAGGGAGCTTCCAGCAGGAGGTGGGCAAGCTGGAGCAAGAGGTGGCAGCGCTGAGAAGGGAGCTGGCAGGCCTCAAGTCGGACCAGGAGGTGATGGGGAAGCACGTGGAGGGGATGCTGGAGCAGCTGAAGGCGGTGCGGGCTGATGTAAGTCCCTGGTCCCCACTCTCTTTAGCGGAGGGAGGCATTAGGGTCCCTGCCCCAGGGCTGAGCTCTGCCCCACTGTTTCAGGTGGAAGCGCAGTTACCAGCATGGGTCAGTCGGTTCCTGTCGGAGTCCCGGCAGGATGGCGCCTCTGGCTTCCTCCTCCAGCGGGAAGACTTGCAAGCGGAGCTCCGGGCCTTGGAGCATAAGATCCTGGCCAAAGTCTTGGAAGACCGGAGGCTGTCGGCACGGGATGCTCAGGCTGGTATCGGAGTGGCCCTGCGGCAGGGGGGGACTGCGGGGGTGACGGAGGAGGTGAGTGCCAGCCTGAGCCCCAGGGACATGATGGTGACCACAGGTGTGGGATTGGGAGCTGTGCCCCATTGCGTGTGCGCGGGGGGTTTGGCACGTGTGCCTGGCAGATGGCAGAGCCATGGGGACAGCCCTTACAGCTGGGGCATTGATCCTGGGCTCACATCCCACCTGGCAAGAGCATCCCTGAAACTCTTCCATCCCTTCTCTGCTGCCAGCCTCCCATGGGCTGTGCCTGTGTCCTGCCCTGGAAGGGGTCATGGGTGGCGATATCCGCACGCCTGCAAGGCTCTTGCTGTCTTAAATCGAAGTTTCTGCTCGTACGTCCTTCACCCAGAAGGTGGGGCAGGTGCCAGCGAGGTTTCCATGGGTTGAGCATCTTGTTTACCCCTGTCCTTCAGCAGCGCTGCCGAGTCATTTGGAGCAAAGCATTTCAGCAGAATGACACCAAAGGAAAAAATGAGCCTGCTTTCTTTGGAAAGAGTTATTGGCAATTCCCTGCGGAGGTGGTGGAGGGAGGGATCAAGCTGGGATTAGCAGTCCCCGCAGTCTGCGCCAGCTTCGTGCACACCATAAAGTTTAGACCCACAGTGGTGCTGCAGGGTCCCAGCTCCTAGGGCTGGGCTTGGCTCCAGAAGGATGCTCCAGCTGGCTCCCCCTTTTCCAGATGGGGTGAGCTCCCATCGATCCTGTGGGACAGAGCAGGAGGGATCAGATGATGCTGGGGAGGACTGGGTGGGCTGTCAGGTTGTGTCTGGTACCTGCTGGGGGATACCCCTTCTCCCCTGGGGCCAGCCCCTCTTTTGGGATGGGGATGGGCGAGCCCAGCCTGCTGGGGCCCCACCCCTTCATTGCACAGTTCCCTTCGTCTGGGGTATTTTTAGCAACCTCTAACGAGGCTTCCCAGCCAAATGCGTGTCCTCTTGTTTTTGCCGTTGTGATTCATCCCCCGGCTGTTTTGTGGGAAGGTCCTTGCGCCCTCTCCATCCCCACGGGGTGGAGGCCGGGGGGGAGGGGGGCAGGATGCCTGCCCTGGCCCTTCATCTCTCTCGTGCCCTCTGCTCCCACCACAGCAAGTGCATCTTATCGTGGGCCAGGCCCTGAAGCGCTACAGCGAGGACCGCGTAGGGATGGTTGACTACGCTCTGGAGTCAGCGGGTAGGTGGGGGGGGGGCTTTCGCCCACCCGGGACAAGCCAGCCATCCTGGGGAGGGGACCACAGGGTGCTGGCATGTAACTTACCTGCTGCCATCCCCTCTCCATGCTAGGGGCCAGCGTCATCAACACCCGCTGCTCAGAGACCTATGAGACGCGGACGGCGCTGCTGAGCTTGTTTGGCATCCCCCTGTGGTACCACTCACAGTCCCCCCGTGTCATCCTGCAGGTGGGCACCCTTGGGGCAAGACCCCACTGAGGGGAAGGACCAGCTGGGCTGGTTCTCATGTGGGCTTGGTGGGCTTTATTGGGCTCCCACTGTTGCTCCAAGCAAGCATCCAGGCTGATGTCAGGGGGAGAAAAATGGCACTGATGGTGATAACATTGCTGGTGTCTCGCTCCTGTGCTTGTAGCCAGATGTCAACCCTGGGAACTGCTGGGCGTTTCGGGGGTCCCAAGGCTTTGCCGTCATCCGCCTCTCCAGCATCATCCGCCCCACGGCCGTGACGCTGGAGCACATCCCAAAAGCTCTCTCGCCCCAGGGGACCATCCCTAGCGCCCCCAAGGACTTCGCTGTCTATGTGAGTGCCCTCGCCCGGACCCGAGGTGGGAGGGTGCCATGGTGGAGGACGCAGGAGGGGTGGGCTACCAAGCCCCATACCTGGCTGTGGGGTGCTCTGGGGGTTGGCCTTATCCTGAAGGGGAGGAAGAAGCAGTACTGGGGAGGAGAGGGGGAGTACTGGCCTTCAGGAGGGGTTTTGGGGGATGCTGGGAGAGAGGGAATTGAGTAGGTGTAACTCTTGGTCTTCCCCCCACCCCTCCCCACTGCCCCCTGTCCCCGTTTGTCTGTTTTGGCCTGGAAGAGCAGGAGCGGGGGCCAAGCGCGCTTGTGTCTCCATCTCCCTCTTCCACCCCGGGTGTGCTCATCGCCTCCGGTCTCCCTCTCTGATCACCCCCGGTTCTCCCTTTCTGCCTCCCTGCCCCTCCGTAGGGCTTGAAGGAAGAAGGAGAGGAGGAGGGCCTTCTCCTCGGGCAGTTCACCTTCGACCACAATGGTGACCCTATCCAAACATTTTACTTGGAGGTAAGTGCTTTGCCCTCAGAGCACCTAACCCCAAGAAGAAAATGGGGCCCCTGGGGTCTCTAAGCCCTTGAGAGCTTTCAAGGGCTCAGTGTTTTCCTTTCTCCTCTCCTCAAGGGTGATGCCGTGGGCACATACCAGCTGGTGGAGCTCCGGGTGCTGAGCAATTGGGGACACCCTGAATACACCTGCATCTACCGCTTCCGTGTGCATGGGGAGCCGGCGCACTGACCCCCAGCTCCCGCGTGGGATGAGGATGCTGCCGGGCTGACAGCAGGAGGGGATTCTTCTGGTTTGCTGCTTCGCACGTAGAAATCCTGGGATGTGCCAGCAGCTGCCCCGGGAAGCTGCTCCCCTCCAGGGAGGAGAAGAGCTGGGGTTTAAGGGGTGAGGTTTTCACTCTTCCAAGAACCGGGGTGGCAAGGCAAGAGCATCCCACGTGGGTCCTTGCGCAGCCTGCCTTGTTTTCAGTGCGTATCGGACATTTTAACTTTTTAAGCTAATTTTTTATCGGGTCTGCGCAGCCCCTCGTCCCCGTTGCCCTGCTCTTCTCTGACGGCACGCTTAGCGTTGCCGGGGCTTGGGAAAGGGGTACGTAATTGTGCCATGCGCTTCACGCGGGCTTGGGCGCAGTATGGCGTACGGGACTGCGGTGACCGGCTCGGTGCCGCTGGTGTAGGTGGGAGCCACTGGTCATGGCTACTGAGTCTCTCTGCTCCACGTGGGGTCAATTCTACGTTGGCATTGGTTTAGCTAAAGATCTCCAGACCTCTGATGCTGGGCCGGGAGAGGGGAAATAAGACAGTATTAACGAAGTATTAACATAAAACTAACGGTTTGAGGCAGCAGGAGGGGAGAAATTTAGCACGCATTGGTAGTGGAGCTCACCCCGCTGCTGCCATCCGTCCGCTCGAGTCCTCCTGCTGCCGGCGGCTGTGTTGGGTCTTGGCGATGCTGTTGGCCCCCCCGGCTGGCCGGCTCCCTGGTGTTAAGCTTAATGATGCTATTGAAAACTCCTGTCGCCTGCTTCCCCTTTTGGGTTTGTTCTGTGTTGTGGTTTTTGGTTTTGGTTTGTTTTTTTGTTTTTGTTTTTTTTTTTTAAAAGGGGGCAGGGAGGGGGGTATTTTCCAGTTGGGGTGTTGGGGATTTTTTTTTGTAGTAAAAGGAAAAAAAAAACCTTTTTCCATACAATTTCTACTTAGCCGGAGAACGCTATGTGGTGCTGCTCGAGCAAGTGGCTTAGGCGCGGTGAGGGCTAGAGCTTTGTTTAGTAGGAGAATAGTGCGTGTGGTAGGATAAGCTAGAATAAGATGAGCAGAGTTGCTTAAAATAAGGGTTATCGGTGGCTTGGTAGCTGGACCTGGGAGACAGGGTCCTCTGTGGACTGCTGCTCGGTGGGGTGCTGGAGGCACTCCTGCCCTCCTTGCTTCAGAGATGTCCTCTGAGGCTGCAACATGTGGCTGTGGCCTCTTGCCTGTGGCTGCATCTGTATATAGGCGACTGTTGCAGCGAGCAGGAGCTGCTGCCCCAGTGCTCTGCACGAGACTTTCCGTGCCTCGGCGGTCTCTTGGGTGGGAGATGGGGCAATCCCCAGGGCTTGCAGGTGCCAGCATGCTTCTGCACCTTGGGGAGCAACAGGGTCTCCCCCACCCTGCGATGCTCAAGGCTGCCTCCGTCCCCTCCCAGGTGGCTGGCGCCGACTGACTTCCCTTCTCTTGGAAGGGCTCCCTTTCCCTCCTGCCTTCTCCTCGCCGGCATTGCTCAGTTCCCTGAGCCCTAGCGGCAGAGGAGCGTGCCGGAGCAGGATGGGGAGTTCTGCCTGCAGTGGGCACGTAAATCCTGCCTGTACCTGTGGTGTGAGGGGGGGAGCCGTGGCAGGGGACTGCAGGAAGGATGCACGGGGACCTTCCCCGGGCTGACGAGTGCCAGGGCCATCTGGCCGCTCCACCTCCTGGGGCTGCCTGCATCACGCGTAGTTTGGCTTACATTCTTGGATGGCGTTTACAGCCTCCACGTTTGTCTTGTGTTACATTGAAAGAAAAGCTAAAGGGCTCATGTTTAGTGTTTCAGCCCTGTCTGATGCTGCCATCATCCTTCCTCTGGCACCGTGAGCACTAGGGGAGCGCCGTGAGTTGATTCCCACTCTTGTCTTCTCTGCTTGATGCGCTGTAGGGTGAGGGGTATGGAGTTGGGGAAGGGGCTGAAGAAGTGTCTTCCTTCAGCGTGCCCTGACGTGCGTCGGGCAGAGGCACTGAGCCCTGACCCTCTCATGCCAGCCCGAGGGGATGAGGATGATGGCAGCACAACCCTTCTGGAGGGGTCTCCTCGCTCCAAGCAAGGGAAGTGAGCCCAAAGGGCGCAGCCCCATTTCTAACAGGTTACAATTACCCTCTGGAGCCCCCTGCGGAGCTGGGAGGCCCTGCTGCAGGGAGAAAGCAGACCTGCAGCCAGATCCAGTGACGATAAAGTCTCTCCTATGTTGAGCATAGTCTTAATTCTTGGCAGCCACAGCCAAAGTTATTTTAAACTTGTCTACAGCTGCCTGCTTGCCTTGGAGTCATGTCCGTGAGTGCCCTGCGCACATGGAATTGTGCTTTTATGAATGCCTGGACCTGTCCCGGGCTCGGCAGAGCAGCTCCTGTATTTAACTGAATGATAGAGAGCAGAAATGAAGCTCTCCCCCTTCCCCGGGGGTTCTCTGGCTGCTGGAGCAAATGCCATAACCACAAAGCTGGAAAACCCCTTTTCTTATGTCCCTTCTGGCTCCCTGGCTTCTGGCTTGGGCTGTCACTTTCCCTGAGAATGGAGTTGGAGCAGGGTGTCTGCTCCTTCCAAGGGGGTGTTAACCGCTGGCTCTGGGGTAGGGAGCATTTGGCTTTACAGGGCAAGCGTGCCCTGTCCTTTGGAGATGAAAGTCTCTGCTGTTCTGAGGTAAAACCCCCCCGGAGACCCCAGTGAGAGGTCACCCTGGGGGTTTATGCCCTTCTCTAGGGGATAGCGCTGGTTTTAGAGGCCTCACCGTGCCCACTGCGTGAGGATCCCCAGGAAGGCAGGCTGAGGCTACACGCGGCTTTTCCCCAAATTCTCCATTGGTGTTGGGCTGCAGCCTGGGCATCTGTCCCGAGTGCCCGGCCAGCTGCCTTTTGCCAGCAGCAGCTTGCAGGATTTCTGCAACGCTTTCCTGAGCTGCAGAGGAAGAGAGGGCACGTAAAACTGCTGCTTCAGCATGTGCATCTCTGCCCAAGGGTATTTAATCCTAGTGCTGATGCAGAAGATGAGCCTGGTGAGGCAGGAGAAACGCGAAACAGCTGTCAGAGCAGCTTTCCCTTATTCACTCCTTTTCCCTCCTTCTCGGTTTGCGTGACACACGTGTTGTGAATTAGCCCTGCAGAAACAGATGGTTACAAGCAGGAGATGAGTTTGTATTTGATGCTGTAGCCTGTTGCAAATGCTGCACTGTTTTGTTCATTTTATTTTCTAATCAACAGATTGTAATTTATGCCTATGCAAGAAAAAAAGACCAAGACAAATAAATTATGTCAAAACTGCCATGAGTGTTTTGCAGGTGAATTTGCTGGTGGGAATGATGCACAGCTAGTAGACAGACAAAGCTATTCTTGTAGCTCTTAAGTATTCTCATGGCAAATGCTTATTTTCCAGCCTGACATACTAATTCCAGGGTCAGCAGTTTTCACCTTGTCATCAAGCAGGCTCTAGGATGCAAAAACTGCTTGGAGCAACAATGAAAATAAGACTTACTCTTAAAAAACTCAAATTCATTGGGACTTTGACGACTCCTAGTAGTCACGTCTGTGACAGACTGTGGCTGCGTGCTCAGTCCATCCTGCAGTGACCTCCAAGCCATCCCTGGGCATCAGCCTGGCTTGGCCCTGAGGAGTAGCAAATGGGGCTGGGGCAGCAGAGAGGGCAAGGACAAAGCCTGACACAAAGCACAGTTAAAGATAGCTGCAGGTTCTTCTCTTTTCCTTAACACAGGCTGTAAATTACTCAGCAGGCAGCTAAGAGCAAGTAGAAAGGAAATACTTAATTGTCTTCAGCATGAGGAAGTTAACCTAGAGCATAAAAAAAGGCTGAAAAAAAGGGAAATGGGACTGGCTGGAGCTTGAGGAGGGTCACACTGGCATCTGCTTAACCAGGCTGGGCTGGAAGCCGGCTTGTGTTGAGGAGTGCCCGTGCAGCTCCTTGCAGAAGGCCACCCTAGGGGAAAGCTTGTTTTCTGCTGGCCCTGGATCTACCTCACCAGTTTTCCCTGGGGGAAGGGATGCTGGGCACATCGTGTCCCAGCTAGGGGACACAGAAAAATGGGGAGGGGGACAGAGAGAAAAACTGATACGGACAACAAATGGGAAGGGATGGGGCACTGGGTGCTCGGAACCAAGGGCTCAAGCGTAGACATGAGCAGAGGGGCGAGCACACCTCCAGCAGCGTCTCCACTCCCCTTAAGTGTCCATAGCACCTGATACATCGGGAGCAGAGGGGCTGGGTGAGCCTTCGGTCTGGCTACCACCAGCTCCCAGCCCAACACTTACCTGGCTTAGGGGAGGGCCATGCAGGGCAGGAAAAGCCTTGGTGAACCTCTGAGATCAACGGAGGAGGCAGGAAAAGGCCCATTCCAAGCCTCAGGGAGTCCCACTCTTTACAGATACAGGTGAGGTGCAAATTGCTGTGAGGGCCTGGGGAAGCACAAGCTTACGCAGGCAGTGGAAGTGCTGTGCTAAAACTGCGTCCTCTGGCAGTGTCTCCAATGGAGCTGGACCCAAATGATTTGCTATAGCAGCTCTTCACACACACATCTCACACAGCATAGCTCACATCACGCAAGCGTTCTCATTTCACCACTCTGCCGCCGAGAAGCACTCAATCCTAGGCAGAGTAAAACCTGTCGGGGCTGTGCAGAGGCTCAGCGGCAGCTCTCCTGCGGCACGGCGTGCCCTCCCCTGCCGTCCCTATGAACGCAGCCTCCTCTCGTAGCCAGCAAAGGAGCACAGTACCAGGCAAACCCACTTAGTCTGGCTTTCGGCATTAAAGCAGCAACTGCTGGTTTTCCAGAGGGACAAAAAGCAACAAGACATACTTTTAACTTGGAACAAACTTTTTTAAAATTTATTTTATAGATCACACCAGCCTGAGTGATCTTTGAATGCTGGTCACAAAAGAGAGATCACACCACCTCCTTTGCACAAACTGAAGTAAACCCTCTTCCAGTCTTGGCAGTCTCCTTCATTTGGAGCACAAGGAATGGAGAAAGAGAAAACCGCCTGGAGCTCCCTGCTCCCCTCGGAAGCAGAGGGCAGTCAAATCAGATGCAGTTTGATGCTGGTCCAGGGCCAGAAGACAAACGAACCAGGCCCTCGTGTCCTGCTTGGCCACACTTCACACCCCCTCACAATGCGGGTGCTATTAGTGTTGTAGCCGCCTATAGTTCCTCCCTTGCCAGGAGAGTGCTGGTATTTAGGCACATAGCTTGGAAAGGACTGTCTGACCTCCCCGCTTCCACCCACGCTCAGGCCACCGCAGTCTCTAAGGCAAAGTACCCTCATCTCCAAACCGCGTTCCTCGCCTCTCCCACGCCGCTTAATGCTTTTGGAGTGCTGGTGCTGGCATCGGGAGATGCGCTCTCTCCCCACTGAGCCTGCTGTCACTCGCTCGGCTTGAAAGCCTACCTCGAATCACAAGGTGAACCGGAATGAACTCCACACAGGTGCCACAGAGTGAAAAACAGGAACAACCCGCTAAGGAGGGACAGAAACACTTCAGTCTCCCTCTAATTAAAAGAAAAGTCCTTCATTGGAGGAGGAAGCCCTCAAAGAAAATGAGGCTGACCACACCTGCCGGGGAGAGCAATGATTTGCTGAGGATGCCACCTCCTCCCTCAAAATGCTACCACGCTCCCACAGCTCACCACAAGTCGGCAGAGGATAACTCCTGTCCTCACCGGAACCAAGCGAAGAGGCAGGGTTAGAAGAAGAGAGATCAAAATAATCAGGGTATTGAGCACTTGCACAACCCAGGGTTAAAAAAAACATGATAACAATAAAGTTAATTCCTAGACTGTCCTTGCAGGGCCTTCCTGGAGAAACCAGAATTTGTCCTTAAAAAAAAAAAATACACAAATCTTTTTTTTTAAAAAAAAAAAAAAGTCAAAAAAATTACCACGTACTTCCAAACCTGAAAGCACTTCTATAAGTTTGGTACCAATTCATCATTGCCCTCTTCGGCTAAGAGGGGAGAAGACAAATCCTATTTCTGCCATGGCAAAATTTGGCCAGTGAGTTCCAGAAAAGATTTGGGAAATCTTGGGAGTAAACAAAATCAAGGGGAGGTCACGTTTGCCTGGTGTCTCTGTTCCAAAGGTATATTATCACCTGTGGTCTCTGTCCATCGAGGTGAGAAGGCTTTCTCTGGCTCAAGGGACGGACTGAGTGTTCCTGCACTATATTCTTAATACTGTCAATTGAGCTGCCGCAGCCTTGAGAGGCAGGTTAGATTTGCTCCAATGTGCACTGAACAAACGATAGGAAAAGCAGCATCATGGGAAGGGGAACAGGATGGGCAAATGGCTGCCCATTTAATTCTGTCTAATTAAAATCTTAAGTGCTATCAACCTATTTGACAAGGATATTTAGTACAGGATTCCTCAACGTAACATCAAGAACTGCTTTCCAATTCATTTCCCTCTTAGATCTCCACCTAATGAACTTTCTTACCATCTCCTTCAAACTTCAGTCACTACAACATTAAATTAAACCCACTTAGAAATAGTTTAAGATGGAGGGAATCCAGAAACATATTTGGCACGGGGCCACAGTGGTGAGGAAACAATGCCCTGTGGAGCCATCCTAAGCAATGTCTTTTAACCTTTGCGAGTCTGAAATTTCAGGCGTTTGATAACGCCTGGATCTGAGACAGCAAATAGGAGGAGGGCAGCAAGTCCTGTGGACAGAATGGGGTGAGGGAGGAGGGAGGCAGCTAACTGGCTCTTTGCAGTTCTATCCAGACTCTCCTCTTATCTTCATGCACACAAAATATAATAAAAACTAATAAGAATAAAAACTAAGCCCATGATGTACAAAAATGTGTGGATAGGGGGAGGAGGAAGGTGTCAGTTACTCAGTTCTGTGTGTCTTACCACCTTCATTAGCTTATAAATTATGCTCCTCTCCATCGCTTCCTTCAGGGAGGAGGGACGATTCTTCTGCAGCCAATCAGCTGGGATGGGTTTTGGTTTAAGCTGCTCTGGATCTTTTGGATAAGAAATGAAGGGAAGGGGAGGAATTCCTCAGAGGGAGGAGGAGTAAGAAATTCAGCAGCCACTGGCAGGAGTCACACAGGCTCCCTGAGACTTCACTTTATGGCGCTGACCCCCACGTCGCCGCCCTCCTCCTCCGACTTTTGACTGAAAAAGAAGAAGATACACTTTAGCGCGCAGCGACCTCTGAATCAGAACATCAACACAGCAGGAGTTCAGATGGATTACACGCACACCCAGACAGCGAGAGGGCAGTTGTGACTGATCAGCTTCCTACCACTGCAGGAAGGAGATAAGGCAGGCAGACATACCATGAAGGAAGGAGGAGAGACAGATACACCATAAAGTTCAGCCCTTCAAGCTGGGGAGGACCCGATTTCCCAGTTTTCTGAACACTTCACTCCCATGAGAGTCAGCAGGTGCCATGGGGTCCGGTGTCTGGGAAATGGAGGCCTCGCATCCCTTGGCTTTGTGCAGAATGGAAAGAGAGCCCCCCACCCCCCTGCCAGGGCTCTTTTGCTAACCTGACTCTGTTCCCAGCCTCAGGCCAGCAAGCCCACCATTCTCTTTTAAAGCAGCCAAATACCTTATTGCCCTCACGGATGTGGGGCTCTTCATCCAGCGCAGGCTGAGGGGAAGCAGCAAGGAGAGAGAGGCAGAGGTAAGCAAGAACAAAAGCAACACAAACTCTCAGGGAGAGGGACGAAACAAAGAGCAAGCTGGGAGCACTACTTACAACCACAGTGACGCTACAACAAGACAAGGAGGAGACTGGGGATCAGTAAGAAGCCACAGGCATATGCAAAGGGAGAGAACCCCTGCCAGAGGGCCCTCTTTCAGCAGCCAGCCTGGCTCAAGGGGGTGAGATTCAACCAATGACAACTAAGATAGCTAAAATTAAGAGGGGAAACACTGATGAGGTCTCTTGACAGTCAGTTCCTGAACCTTTCACTTACTAGGTAAGTACACTAAAAGGAGAAGACCCATGTAAGAAAGCTGATAAATAGCTCCCAAAGCCTGCAGCTAGAATTGAGTTTCCATTCCTTTCAGCCCAGAAAGGCTAGGTATCCTTCTCGGATAAGCTGAGCTGAGAAGTCCTAACAACCTGGATAAATTTCTCTTGAAAGAGATAAGCCTTTCCTCCTCCTTGGACATCTCCATCCTCCCTCCTTTACAGGGCAGATGACCTGTGTCTGATATTACTACTTGTGTTGTAATTTCTCTAGTGGAGGGATGTTCTACCTCTCATTCAGACAGCAGAGACCCATTCTGTCACCGGTTGTTAGATACTTCACTAGTTCAGCTACCGCGTATACGGAGATGCTTCTTCACCGTGAGCACAGTCAAGTAGTGAAACAGGTTGCCAAGGGAGGTTGTGCAGTCTTCCTCCTTGGAGGTTTTCAAGACATGACTGGATAAAACCTTGAGCAACCTGGTCTGACCTCACAGCTAATCCTACTTAGAGCAGGAGGTTAGACTAGATACTTCCTGAAGTCCAACCTGAATTGTCCCAGGACTCTAAGCTGCCAGCGGCCGAAAGGTCAGCCATGAGGAGTCATCCAGTCATCAGAGAATTCTGATTTCTGCTGTGAGACTACTTATATTTCTATTTGTTTCTGTTGCACATTGAGTCCCAAGGTGAGTTCAAGGGTATGAGGGGATAATGCTTGTGCTTTAGAGTGCCCTTCCTCCAACAGATGAAACCAGGATGCAAACAGCTAGGACAGACATGATATTTTCCTCACTTACCAATGGTTGTAGGGCAGTAGGTGTCAGTGGCGCTGCGGCTGTTGAGGGGGCCTCGTCCCCAGCTGGTGGGCCTCCAGCTGCCATCCCAGCTGGGGGAACACTATCCTCTCGTTTCGTAACGGCTCCCTTCTTGGTTGACTGCATCTTGATCTGCTGTGGCTTGGAGTTCATTGGCGAGTTATTGGTGGTCTGGAGTAACTGCAAATTAGAAAGGGAGAGGCCAAAGTCAGCATTAAAATAACTAGGCCAAAATGGCAAGGTTCAATGCTGCTTTTTAACAAAAAGCTTTGAGAGAATTGATACCAACAGCCATCAGGAGAAGAAAGCAGCAGCAGCAGCTGTTCAAAGAAATCTAGGCCCCTGAGCTGCCCTGAAGAACCCTTACAGGGTGGGGAAAGGGCCACTCGGCTGAGATGACACTCAGCCCTCCACAACATGACTCAAAGGGATCAGCTACAAGACGTCAGAAAGAGACCAAGCCATAAGAACCAGAAGCATCTGCCTCACTCCCTGCCTTTGCATTCCCTCATTCACACCAGCTAAGACCCACCACACGACAAAGCACATCGGTCATCTGCAAGCCATGTCAGGGCTGGCGTTTGTGATTGAAGGACAGTCTCTTCCCCCAATTTTCCAGAGCTATCCGGATTCTCCTGCTGGCTTCTCAGTGCCAAAAGTAGCTAATGGGCAAAAAAAGTTGGACTCTTCAGCCTTTACCTTAGTGATGGTACCCACAGCTTTGGTGCGGCCTTCACGGAAGACCAGACGCTGGTCTATATGCAAATATTCCGGGGTTTTGATGAAGCGAAAGTGCACTGTGGCTTTGTCCCCCGTCCGCAGGCAGTCCTTGTCCATGCTGAGAATCGTGGCCGTCTGACGGATGCTGCCACAATGCACTGTGAATGTAATGCACAAAGGCTTTCAACAACCAGTGCCATTAGTGGAATAAGCTACAGACAGACATCTAAGGCAGCTCTTGCTACCCTACAGCTAAGTTTGGAATGTAAAAATCTACTGTGCACCAAAGACCATACGGGTCACATGGCTGTCTTTGTTCAGTCCTCAAAAAGAAAACATATAAGCTAGAACAGTTGCCTTTGAATGGAGACTTTCCTGAAGCATCCTCAACAGAATCCTACATGCCAAGCAGCCAGGCTAGAGGGCAGGACCTAAAATGAGTGTCTCAGTCAGCACTTGAAGCTGAAGAGTCTTTGCACCATGGAGATCTGGCTCAGGCAGGCTCCAAGTACACTTGGAATCACACATCTCCTTTTTACCTACAGCCTTCGCCACTTTCCTCCGTCAGCTCCCTCCCCTCTCTCTAATGCATTGCTGGGAAAGGTCAAACCAGGAACTATGGCTTATATTCAGGCTGACAGAGCCATCAGGAGAAAAATTATCTCAGGCTACACATGATATAAACTGTTACCACTTGGAAACAAAGATGAGACAACACTGAGACACATACCCATGGCCTGATATCGTGGGCTGATGGTGGTGGGGTGATGGAGCACCAGAATCTCTGCTTCAAACTCCCACGATGCTTGTGGATTCAGGCGGGGTGACACCATTACCATGCCTTTCCGGATGGAAGAACGCTTGATCTGAAAAGCAGAGACACAAAAAACCTTAGTGTGATTCTCCAGGGAAGAAATTTGCTTCTCTGCCTGACTGCATCCAGAAGGATCCTAAGGGATTTCACTAACTCGTGCTCACCAAAAGGCAAAGCCAGAGCTCTTTAGCAGTATGTAATGATGTTATGAAAGGTTGCAAAAATCAAGTTCAGCTGAAGTTTCTAAGGAAGCTTTAGCTGCAATGCTGGATGTTGGACGCTGACACAGAAGTTTTAACTTACTGATCCTTTAAAAGCAAAACTTACATCCTGGTTGCACATTACCCAAGCAGACGATCTCTCCAAAAGCATGATGTCTGTTAACACAAAATGATAAGACTGAACACGTGAAGTTTGGTACAGCTTAAACTATATCCCCTTAAAATCAGTGCAGCTTCTGTTGATAGAAACCTTTCACCAGAGAAACCGCATCAAATTTTGCTAATTTTTAAATGCCAAATCATGCAGCTGGTTCTACAAGTTGAGAGGAATAGTGTAAATACCCTGCCGAGGCCACTAATGCAGTTGCAGCACAAGAGGAGACTTTTCTTGCAATGCCTCCACTTTGTTACACATCTCCAACACTGTTCCTCATTACCTTTGGTCCCACTGCTATACCTGGCAGCTGTCAGGTGAAGCAACCGGGACACAGAACCCACAGAGGTTCTACGGGATTTTAATGCGCTGGGAAATGAGGCAGCTGAGGTTTGCAGAAGCAGTCTGATTGCAGCTGAACTCCAAGAGCACTCTAAAATTAGAAGGGTGGTTCCTGTTCTGGGAGTCTAGAGAAGATCACCTCACCTTTTTCAAAGCAAAGGAGGCAGTCTGGCCTCCCCGCACTTCTTTGACAGGCATCCTCTTGCGGTGGATGGACTTGACAGCAATAGGTAGGAAGTTGCCAAGGGGATCTGGCCCCAACAGCAGGGTGTCATTTAGCTTGATTAGGCCTCTCAGTGTCGTCCCAGACACAACTGTTCCTACACCCTATGCCAAAAAAAGAAAAAAACAGTAATTGGGGTTACTCGACCGCGCTAGCAGAAGAGCTGTAGAACTCCCCTCTCTAGGGAAGATGCCTTCTTCAACCTGCAAGAGGGAGCAGAAAATTCTTCTAAATACCAGGCCCCTTACCGGGACAGAGTAAGTATCATCTATCTGGAATTCTGCTGGCTCTTCTTCCCTGTAACTGGTCCGTGGAGACAAGAGATTAAGAAACATCTTCAACAAATCTAGGTTCTCCCCGGTGACATTTGAAATCTGGAAAATCGGGCACATCCTGTAAAGGAAAATTGATGAAAATGAAGTTAGTTCACCTCACTGCCTGGAATTCCACATGTAGGGAGACATCCAAAATCTTGGGACTGAATTCAGTACACAGTGCTAGGAAGGGAGAGCCTGGCAAGCAGTCAGATGCACAACACCCCATGTTTGAAAACCTGCAACATTGCCTCTGCCTTCTAATGACATTCAGGAATAGGTGTAAGGTTCCAGGACTGAAGGAAGCTGAATACCCTGCCATCTTCTGCAGACTGCCCAGAAGCAGCCTCTCATTTGTGTCTCAGAGAGGGGAACACAAGCAGGTCAATCTCAGAATCAACACATTCTTATGGAATCAACACACCACATGGCAGATGCAACCTTCACACATCTAGACAATGGGACTCTCTTTCTGAATCTTCTCACCCAGTCTCCAAATAGGATCGAAAGAGAAATGACTCTTCTCTACTCCCGTTACCTCTCTGAGCTGAAGTTGGAGGCTGTTACAATGACATCATCCTTGCTCTGAACCAGCACGGGGATCTTCCTGCACCCTGGGGACTTCAGCAGTCGCTGTAACAGCTTCAGGGTTTCTTAAAGGGTGAAATGAATATTGTTAGGGCAGCATCTCCCGCCTTTACAAATCACTTTTGTGGGGTCTCTCCCCGAAGGGAGACTGGTGCTCTTGCCACAAATAGACAGGAGAAGATGGCTAAAGGTGCGTGAGTGAGACTGAGCTTGCTGCAGCCCAGGTGGGACTTAGGAGCCATTCCATCTTCCATTTCATGCCAGCTAGCCTGCTGCCAAGCGACACCATACATGAACGGACATACATGTTTGCATCTGCAAGTGCAATGCTGTGAAGTAGACATTTTATAGCTGTCTATTAAGTAGCTTTAAGCAGTTACAAGGTATTTTCTCTTCCTATAAAGGATTTTTCATATTGAATTCAATGAAAACCAGCAGCACTCAGGAATTGAAATATTTGAGAATATGTGAATTAGAAATCAGTTTTGACCAAACAAACCTCAACACACTTTTCCTGGCAATCAACCTGCCCTAGAAGGCTCGAGAAGCATGAAAGAGGTAGAGATCACTATCACAGACTAGGACAGCGTAGGTGAACCAGATCCAGAAATAAATATTTTGGGACAAATCTCACAGCTCCCAACTTTCACCTTTTGCCTCTTTTTAATTTATTTTCCAGGCCTCATATCTATCAGCCAGCAGGGGCATTAGCTGATGCGCTAGCATCAGCCTCCTGCAAAGTGCCTTACAATAAATGTGAGTTAAAAAAAAAGGCTAGTAAGGGCTTAAAAGAGCAAATCATTTATATTCTACAATTGTCATCCAATTAGATTTCTTTGTGAACAAATGATTGCCTATGGGAAAGTAATGTTTTGAATACAGAAACACAAACATCTAATCATGCCATCTGCTCTTCACACATACACTTGAGCCAAATCTTGTGTCGATTTAATTTAAACGGAACATGACACAGGAGTGGCTTCTCCCAAGAGCAGCTCTTCTCCCCTCACCCCGAGCCAAACGTTCTCCTTCCTTCCCAGTTATTATCTTATGGTTGGGCCTTACATTTATTTGCCAAACATCTATTATAGAGACATTTAGATTATCTTCCG